ACGGTTATAACAATAGACGTTCAATTGTAACCGAAATTGAACCAAAAGGCTAACAGACACCAGCCTAAGTAATCGGACGGTTACTCAAGTCATCGATCAAGTTAACCACAACCAGTAGCCAGGACTAATCTGGTGAATTGAATGAACCACCATCATCTGGAACATTTTGGTATCGTACTAGTTTTAGTTATCCTGATTGTTATTGTTTATTTACATTCTGTCCCTATTTGTACACCCGGTGATCACCTCGGTATTTCAGGGAATAATTCATTGCTGGCCCCAGTGTGGTAAATGAATTATTAAAATAGGTAACTTAACTAGACGTAACCTGTTGAATTAATGTCAACTTATTGGTAGTTCTGGTTACGAAAGTGTAAGATAACCGTTCCGAGAACTAATTCTACGTTATTAGTTTTTTTTCTCTCTTATTCTCTTTATTTTTTTTTAAATTTTCAAACCTTACTTTTCATATACGTATATCTTTTTTTTTTTTAATTACTTAGTTATTGAGTTTCAATGACATTTTTGCATTTAAATTTAACTGATCATGACATAGTATTGCATTTCTGTATTTGTTAATTAACGCTTCTTGACAAGGCCATTTTATTAATTGCTAATTTACTTGATTATTATTATTTCTGTTTTTTTTCTCTCTTAAATTCAAATTATTGTTCATTGTGGACTGCGGCCATTTGATAAATAAACGACTGTAGCACTTGATTTGAATTGACTTTTATTTGGTTTTATGCACACAGCCTGGTTTTGCTAATATTTTTATTTTTTTTATTAATTATTATTTGGATTGTAAGGACCTGAAGCCAGATACCATCCTGGAGAGTCCGACGCATCTGTTCAGAGTCGGTGGCGCCCAAAACGAAAACCCACCCCTACTCTCCGAATTATTTAGTTCTGAGCTAGGGCTTAATTTGCACGCACTTCGACCTTCAGTCTTACAATCTCAAGTTCTTCATTCAATTATTTTGATTTTTATTTTATTTTTATTTTCATTATTTTTATTTTATTTTTTTTTTGATTTTTTTTTATTCTCGATTTTTTTTTTTAATAAACTTTTCTTAATCAGCGAAAAAGCGTGGCAAACGTTAAGATGATAGAGTGTTTAAAGCTGGAGAGCACGTGATCTTCTATAGCACCTTCATCTTCATCACTCAGATTTACAGTTTTAACAACCTCTGTTGTTAATGCCAATTGGGTAAGACTTTGAGCCCTCACAGCACGCGCATAAGAGTACGCAGTCATTATCTTGTTAATACTGTTAGGTGCAAAAATCGTTGAAAAGACTTTCTTTAATCCAGACACTTCCATTATCTTGTATATTGTACCCATAAATGACATCAGTTGGTGAAAACCACCTAACCTCAACCTCACAACAATAATATTCAACTCGTCACTGCAGTTTGATACTATTTCTTTAGCTTTTTTGCATAGTGGTTGATCGAAGGTCACGAAGCCTGTTTTTTGACCATAGACATCGATTTTTTTTGGACACCCGCAGAGCAGTTATTAAGGTGTCATATTATGACGGAGGATGGTTTATGAAAGGTAAACAGACAACTTTCATTGTTTCAAAAGGCAAGTGATTTGTAGCCTGTTCCATATAACCATTCCATCCAGGTACACTTCCCTTTTTCATACTCTTGCCAAACAGTTAGGCAACATCCGAAGAAGATGGCGCAATTGTTTCTATTGTTCGTCGATTTTTATCTGACACTTTCCGTATGAGGAGCGAGGGGGTGGAGTATATGGCGAAAACAGGTGTAAGGTCAGGTGACCATTGGCGTTCTAATGTAGGGTGCCACCAGCTCACATTCTTTTCGAGTATCAGAGATTGAAATCGACGGACTTTACATCCTCAATAATGATGGAATCTAAACCTTGTTTTCTTTTTTCGGCTGGTAGATTTGCAATTGCACAGGCGGTCTCTGATGCATCAGCTGGGAAGCACTGCCTCTTTCCACTCAGGCAAAACTTTGTTCTGGGATAATTGATTCACTGGGACTGGAGTCACCATCTGTCAAAGGCGAATTGCACAAAACTCTGCTTCAATTGCATTTCTTCTTGTCTTAGCTTGGTAGAGGTTTCTAGTTTTACAATGTTTTGTAATTCGCACAAAACCCCATAGTTAACAAGGTGACTGGAAGCAAATTTGTGATATAAATAGACATGGCATAAAGGGGCGAAGATATGATATGAATGAGGAAGGTCTGAAGCTGAAACTATTGAGTGTGACAGAGCAACATATTTTTACGCCACACTTATCCGGAGAACCTCGTTTGTCTTTTACAATCTCGATCTCCATAAACGTTTTCAACGAGTTTGATATTACGGAATCCACATCCTGCAAAAAATTATGTGAGGGACCGGCATTTTGTTGTGTCGTACACTTGAGAGTGAATGTCCTCCAGGATAATATCAGCTGCAGCTTGAACCACCTGGAGGCGCTCTTCTTGGGGATCTGATTTCTGTTTAATATACCACGTATCTGATAAAATTTTGTATCCAGTATTTTTGAAGCAAACAGCTGTTTTTTTTGATGTGGTAACTAATATTACGTCATTTCAATACTTTTTAATTAGGTCACTTTTAAGGGTTCGCACATCAGATGTATTTTTCTAGGAAGTCGAAAATTTTATCCATGGCTTCATTCACCGTGCCACGAGGATTTTCTCCCCTTTTCTAACAGGTGTGTAAGGCTGCCACTGACAGAACCGATGGCATATGCGAACCGATGATATCTTGCATCTAGTGCAGGCAAATCAGTATCTTCTCAGATGCGTTCTATTATTTCCAGTGCCCATTCATGTTCTATTTTCTCAGCTGCTTTTAATGTGGTTGAAACCAGCTGCAACTTCTCTAATTTTTTTCTTTTTTCAAGCTTGTTTTTTTTTTTCTTCTCTTTGAAGTTGAGCTTCTCAGCTCAGATGAGCTTCTTGTAGGTCTCGCTGTTCTCACTTCTTTTTCCCTGCGTTGCACGGCTGCTTTTATTAATTTGGGATTGGTGTATGTACCTTTTTGACATGCATTATGTACTAAAATCTTGCTCACTTCCTCCAGTAAGCGTTCGTAATACCGGTTTTTTAATTTATTACTGCACGTAAGCTAAGATTCTACTCTTCTCTTTTTCACCTTCACACAAGCTATCATTGCATATGAAGCAAAAGGAATCCATGGAGGCTTGTACATTCTTTTTGCAAAACTTTAAATTGCTGTATCTTAGAAAACTATTTCACCTACAAAGACTAAACCCCACTTGTTTTTTTTTTTTTAATTTTGTTTACTTCACAATCGTTGGTTCTTGGTGTTTAAAATTGACAAAATGTGAAAAAAGTGCAAAAATTTAGCGGTTTTGGTAATGTTTAACAATGATCAGGAGGGCTTTCGAGATCAACAACTCGGATGACATATACCATACCTACTTTATCAGATCAGATATAACATATCAAAAAAATCAGAAATACCTCATTCCATGCAAGATAATACCCCTTTTTCAGTGCGATTTTTATGAACTAATTGTATAGTCTAAAGTAGAGCAATGGAGACTGTATACATCCAAAATATCCAGTTTAGGAGTGAGGTCTTCAGAATTGACAAAAAATGATCTTGGAAAGAAGCTAAGACTTGAAAGAAATGTCAATGAGATGTATCTAAATAAATTATTGAGTTTCAAATAAATCGGTGGTGTGTTGGTGTTAAAATAAATGAACTGCGTTTTTAAGCTCCTTGTATTTTTTTGCATCTATGACATAATGATTGGTGAAAATATTTTAAAAAATCCTACTGGTGAGAAAATTCCATACTTACCATTAGGATTCTATTCGAATTTGACGATATATTGAAGTAAATATTACAACTTATGTTACTACTTATCAATAATAAATGAGAATGTTCCATTCCAAGCGCACCCACAAAAACATTTTATCATGGTTCCTGGATTTTTGTAACCATGGATGAGACTTTTTTTGTTATAATTAATTATGGCGTTTCCAATTGTCATTATTTGTCATAATTATTCTTGAACTTTGTCAAATCGTTAACACACGTTCACAGTCCATTTTTATCGAGATCTTTATCAGAATAAAATCGTTTTTGTCAAACCTAATTGTTTGACTGGTCATTCGAAAATCGAAATCATCGAAAACCCCAACAGAGAACATTCTGTGAAGATTACCTAAAGTGTGTTTTTTTTTTTAAGATAAAAGTCAAAATGACATTATGTTGGCAATACAATGTAAAATTGTCAATGCTTTCAAATTTTTAATGTAGAATAGGCTTGTGTTGCCAACATAGTTACTAAATTTTTGACTTGGGGAATTATCTTTAAAAAAAAAACAGACTTTATAGAATGTTCTTCGACTTATTATTTATAGTATTTTTTTCACTTCTCTATAAACTTTATTATTGAAATCCTATTATGGAGTTGAAGAACATCTTCAACTTCCGGCTTCATTTGCTTCACTCGAACTTGCCAAAAACTTCTTTGTTTCTATAATAGGTATGTACCTGAATTGGTGATTACAAAACCGATGTAATGATCACAGTACCGACCGTTATAAAACAATACCGTACAAATTTTTTTGATAATACTTTTTATTATAAAATGATAATCAGTGATTCGAAGAGAAATTCTTATAAAAAATGTGTCTCTAACCAAAGCTGTCTTCTGACTAAAAGTTGTCTCTTGACTGAGAGTTATCTCATGACTGAAAGTTGTCTCTCTTCTCAAAATCCTCTTTCACATCCCTTCTAAAAAAATTTCTTATGCCCACTCAATGTTATCTGGAAAAAAACCCAAGTAAATATCGGCAAAATATATTATTATACACCAATAAATTACCATTCACGATACTTGGGAAGTTTGGGGGTTTATGCTGAACAATGTTTATTTTCAAAGAGTCGATAGGGTTTACAACATAATAAATAGAATTTATAAATCTGAATATTTAAACCATTTTTTTTTGTTCAAAAAACATACATGTTTTCAGGTACGCAATTGGCAACGCCGAACGTCCAAACTTGCATTCCAGGATCAGTTGGCTCGACTTTTTGGCCAACGATACCCAGCAACCCTATTTAGCCAACGGTACAGGCGGACCGAGCATCAAGAGTCGCTACGTCACAGCACTTTATTTTACATTCACCTCCCTCACCAGCGTCGGTTTTGGTAATGTGGCGCCCAACACGGATGCGGAGAAAATCTTTACTATTTGTGTGATGTTAGTGGGATGTAAGTATGTCTTTTCTTTCGAGAAGAAAGCGTTTTAATTAAACTGTACTTGACGTGTTTTATACGCAAGCTTTTCATGCACTAGGGAAGGGTTTATTGTATGTTCTAATAATTTGTTAAATGAGCCTGTCATGAAAATATTATAGAATTCCATTACAAAATTTTAACTGCGGCGTTTAAACCTTCTAGTCTGGTTGTTGGGGTTTATTTGTTTTACCTTGTTTTGTTAAGAAAAGCGAATTTTCACTCTTCACACACAGTGCCCTTTATTCACTCAGTATTCCATGCTGAGAAGTGGGTACTTCAAATTTGGATAATGATGTTGACATAGCTAGAATTTTTCAAACAAAGGTTACACATTTATAAATTTGAATAATCAAATTTCCATTGTATCAGCATTGTTTTTACTTGATGCTTTATTGTTTTCGGCACAACTATTTAAGTATTAATTAGGAAAATTCAAGCTACGACAAAAACGAACATTACTTGATTGTAAAGAAACGAAATTGCAGCTTTTTTGGACTTTTTTTATTCACGTGAGTATTAATCAATTGCCAACGTTTCGACACGGATGCGTGTCATCCTCAGGGCTAGATTAGTAATTGTGGTGCTTGTTTTTTGAAATTAAAAAACATAAAAAATACATAATTCTAACGGACATATCAAAATTCAAACCAGCCGTGCAATGGTAACAAGCTACAAATTGATAATTGAGTTATTGAATAAAAAAAGTCCAAAAAAGCTGCAATTTCGTTTCTGTACAAGTGTGTGGTCGTGAACTACCTTTCAAATTACTTGATTGACCTATGCCAAGCAAGTCTACTTTGCCTTTGATATTGCCTATTCCCTTTCTTTCATTTGAGAGTTTTAATTTTTGGTGTTTCATAGGTCTGTTCAATTTTGTTTTTCTAAAATTTCCAACATTTCGTATTATTGCTGTAGATATTCGTTTGTCCACGTTTCTCAATTTTTGACCTCTGGCAATTTCTTTACTTCTTCCATTTCTTTGTACTTGTATTAGGGCCCTGTAGTTTCTTCGCATCTTTCTTGGATCTTGAGCAGCATCTACTTTGACTTTTGATGGTTAGAAGGCCGTAACTATGATGTTGTTGAATGTAAAATGATCCACTTCCTAAGGTCGTGGCTGAATTTGCAGCTGGAAAAGAATACACCGGGAAAATAACACACTATCGCTTGATTTCCCTATAAGGCGGCATCCCCAGATTCTCTAATTGATATTGCCTTTTTCTCCCTCTCAATCACGCGCCCCGCGCGGTTAGGATTTTTTTGAAGGTTGGGATCCTCGCATACCGGTCGGTACCTTCCTCTCACAACGTGCCATCCCCCATCCCACACTGCCTTCCTATTTCCGAGGTTACCCGAACATGTTACTTCCGGTTCGTCGTACGCATTTTAAATCATTAGGCATTTTTTTTTTTGCATTTATGTCTTTATTTTCAATATTTTACATGTAAACTTAAACTACCTCAGCCTACTACAATCAGAATCCTAAATTCTAATGTGCGCCAAAAGGGCACGGCCGATGTTGTGGCCCGAATTTAGAGAGAAATATAATATGGGTAGCAGTGGCGATCAATTCGGCATGACTCTTTTCTGGGACACGCAATGGTGCTCCTTATAGGTCAATTCACAGTTTTGACTTTATGTCGTGTTTTAGGTTTATAGTGTCCAGTTGTCATTCCATAGTTGCCAAGATATACATGAAGGGAAAATTGAAAAAACCCTTCTTCACGTTTCTTTGGTATATTCTGTATATTAAAGCTTGCGCCAGTTCACGAGTAGAGCGTTTGTAATTAAATTAGGTGGTCGCGCCGTGGGCGGTACTCCGACGTACCAATGGTATTGCTGATCCTAGTAAAGTATTCTAGTGAAAAGTTCCCAATTTAATTACATTCGCTCGTCGCTTCAAGGCGGCTCGAAATATACACAGTGTGTAAAAAGTCCCGGAACAGTCAATTATTTTGAAAATGGTGCACAATAGAAAAAAACTTCCTGTATAAAAGTTGAAGGTCTTGATAAAATCTATTGAAATAAGACTTTTGTAATTATACAGGGTGGCCCAAAAAGTTGTGCTATACAAAACTTCATTTTTTTTAAATGGAATGATCCTTTTCTAATTACATTTTCTAACTCCTCTAGAGATTCTAAACAACAATTATGAAACATGTTATATGGCTAAACCCATTAGTTTCAGAAATAATTTGAGTCGAAGGACATAAATACGATATTACCTACATTTTGCATCGTTTCGAGTTAGTTCAAAATGGTCACCAGACCTAAAGCCCCTTGATTATATTCTTTGGGGACATCTGAAAAATAAAGTGTTTGTGACAAAATTTGCAGATCTGAACGAATTGAGAAGAAGAATTATTGAAGAATGTGCATCTATTAACCAAGAAATGTTACAAAACGTCATCAATAAATTTTATTATAACCTAGCCCATTGTCAAACTGTGGGAGCAGGACATTTTCAGCATTTAATTAAATAACGCCTTACACTTAATTTTATTTTTGTTCTTTCAAAGTTATTGTTAATTTTACTTTACTGCTTGTATTTAATAATTTAGTTATTATTGAAATTTTGACTAAACTTGAGTGAGGTACATTTCATTTAACACAAGTTAAATGTTTTTTTTTTTTCCAGGATTTAACGTGAAATATTTTGAACCAACTCGAAACAATGCAAAATGTAGGTAATATCCTGAGGTAATATCGTATTTATGTCCTTCAACTCAAATTATTACTGAAACTAATGGGTTTGGCCATATGACATGTTTCATAATTATTGTTTAGATTCTCCAGAGGAATTATAAAATGTAATTAAAAAAGGAGCATTCCATTAAAAAAAAATTAAGTTTTGTGTAGCACAACTTTTTGGGCCACCCTGTATAATTCCAAAGTCCTATTTCAATAGATTTTATTAAGACCTTCAACTTTTATACAGGAAGTTTTTTTATATTGTGCACCATTTTCGAAATAATTGACTGTTCCGGGACTTGTTACACACAGTGTATTGGCAACCTATGGTTTATGGGTCGGTGTTTAACGGAGTTGTGTGAGTCGAACTTGAGGGTAGCAAGGTTTGCGATCAGGGTGGGTCCATATGCGGAACGGCTGAAGAATTTGATTGAGACTTCATTGAAGTATTCGAGGATGGTGTTTATACCAGCAAGTCGATGCACTTCAGCTGTTCGGGTGTCCATTGGCAAGGAAAGCGCGTTTTTTAGAATTTTATTTTGGAATACTTGGAGCTTTTTCTTCTCGCTGTTGGATATATGAAGCTCCAAACAGGTGCTTCGTAGAGTAAAGTTGGACGTATTATGGTCTTGTAGATGCTGATTTTGTGTTGGAGTGTCATGATGATTTGCAGGAGATGCATAATAGCCTTTCGGGGGAAGTTCTTGATCAGTTGGTTTGTGATAGTGACAGGTCCGGGTGTTTTTCTGTTTTTAAGTCTTCTCAGTTCGTCAGCTAGCTCGGTAGGCGTGGCCAGCAACCGCTGGTGAACTCCTGGGGGGATAGGGTATTTGCGCACGACAAAGGCGTCGGCTGTGTTGTTGATGTCTGTGTGAGTTCTTGTTGTGTCGGGTGTTTCGCTGTACACCCTAGCGAAGTGGTCAGCGAATATGTTCGCTTTGTCCTGTTCCCTGTAGAAGCTGGCGCCATCGACTACCAGGTCTGACTGTGTCGTGCCTGATTTTCGAAGATTTCCACAGAGGAGATATACCTCATCCAGGTTGTGTTCCTGTGATGACGTACTCCCCTCTCTATCTCCCGGTTGGGTAAGTTGAGTAATTGTTTGTCCAGTATGTTTGGGTGCCTTTGCCATGCACGCTTGACCCTATTCCTCTCTTTTTTTGAGTGCAACAACGGAGTCTGGTATTCTGTCCGTTCTTGGCTTGGGGGTGATTTTTGGAGCTAGCTGATCTCTGATTTGCGTAATAAGTGCTACTTGCCGCTCAAGTTCGGGTATGGTGGTTATGGGGCTGGGGATTGTTGTGGTGTTGTTCAGAAGTTGTTTGTAGAGTGTCCAGTTGAAGTTTTTGTAGCTGTGTATTTTTTGCGGTTCCTGCACTGCAGGGTTTTTCCAGTACAGGAATGGTGGTATGTGGTCCAAGTTTAGAATGTTTTTAGTCTTAATAGTCAAGTCCCTCGAGAGAGCGATATCTATCGTGGAGGGGTTCAGTCCGTTAAGCGGATAGTGCGTAGGGTTATTTGGGTAGTGTAGTGATATGTCCGGGTTGTCGCTTAGAAACTTGAAAAGTATTCTACCTGTCCTGTTGTTCGTGTGGTTAAGCCATGTTGTGTGCCTGGCATTAAGGTCCCCCAAGAAGTAGTGCTCTCCTCCCATTTCTGGAAAAGAAGACCTTAATGTCGTGGGCGGTTCTTATCGCTTCTGGGGGAGCGTAGTCCCCCGAGATCCACGAACCGTTATCTATATCCAGTGTAATGTGTTCTATACTGGTATTTAGGGTTGTGATTCGTTTATAGCTAACTGATTTGTGGATCAGGCAGGCCACGCCTCCGCCTCTGCGATTTCTGTCCATTCGTTCTGTATTATACTGTTTGTGCTTAAGGCTGTCTGCTGGTAGTAGTTTTGTCTCGTTTAGAAAAATTAGTTTGGGACTGTAATGGTTCACGGCCTGATAAAGGTCTCCCCTCTTTGAGTTGAGACCATTACAGTTCCAACTAAGTATGAGCCACATTTAAAAGTCAAAACTGTGAATTTCATTTTTGACATTGACATTTTAAATCATTAGGTGCGACTGTGGGCACTACAAATGTATTGCCTCAGTGTCTGTTACATTTGCTTTTAGTATCTCGTTGATGTGTTGTTGTACTTTTGTTATATCTGTTAGTCTTGCTATGTGATCTTCAATTATTTTTTTCCATCCAAGTCTTAATTTGGATTTTCAAAATTTAAATTTTTACCTTGTCACGGCAGCCCAGAATGTGGGGTTTTTCTGGGTGATAGCAGAAATGTATTGGGTCCTGTTTATGGGTGTGGTGTGAGAATAAAGCAACTGAGGGTGTACATTTTTTATTCTAATGAATAATTTAACATCTTTACTGTAAAACATTCAGGTTTTATCCGTTGCTAATGCCTTGAATAACATTGCTAAAAGTAATCGCACTAATCGTCGTCAAAAGGGCCACGATACATTAGAACGCTTTCAAAATTCCCTCAAGATAATTTAAAAAAATACAATCCTGTGACGGAACTAGCTATTGCCCCTTTTTGGGCTTTAGTCAAACCGCACCAGGGGTGCCAAAAGTTTTTACTTTGACTGACTGTAAAAATTAACCATTAGGTGTTGGATTATTTAAGCCTTGTATTGGGTTAGGGGTGCCTTGATTCTCATTTATACAAATTAAACGCTGAAATAGAATAGTTATCAATTTAATTAATAAATGAAAGTAATTCGGTATAGTTATCGATCAAATCCTATCTAATAATTCCTAATTGGACGTTCAGTAGAACTACAAATTTTATACCAATCTAAAGTAAATAAGTATCTTGATTTATAAAAAGTAGGGAAATCTGATAATGATAATAATATCATTTATGGTTAAATGTTCAATGAACGAGAACACAAATTAACCAATTAAATGCACGAGAGCACAACATAAATAATTCGTCAACTTCAATCAGTTCACTGTAATCACAAAATGTTTATTGATCCTTGGAAGTTCTTTTATTTATTGAGAATTAACAATTTGAGCACTTTTCTGCTGAAGTCTGTAAACATTGTGCAAAAAAAGTCTTTATAAAATGCTCAGTTTCTATACACAAATGTACAAATGTTAATTTCACGAGTGTGAAAACCAAATTTCTGCATTATAGGTTAGAAAACACTTCAATTTATAGTGCATTTCAAGCGAATCACTAATCAGTATTTATTAACTCATTGTTAGACTGTTAGAGAAATTGTAATGGTCTTACTTGCTTAATCCAGTTCATACAGATAAATTCATAAGGCGATTATTTATCTATTTATCACTATTCGCACTCGCATCTAGGGAATTTTCCACTGGGATGAAAAGAAAACACAATGATATACAGGTGCGTTGAAGCCTGTCAAGAGTAAGAGAGATAGAGCCAAAAACATGCGTATGAGAGAATTTTGCTCGTCGGAGGTAACTTGCAACAATTAGGGGTTAATTACATGAATTAAAATCAATAATATAGACACAGAGAGTAGTATTTTACTATAAATCGTGCGTACTAACGAGGGTTTTTGCCTCTGGAGAGCATTCAGAGGGCGCGAGGGTGCGAACTCTTCGCTTAATCTAATAGTACTGACGAATGTGCGTCGACTAGCTCTGCCACGGAGCAGGACGCAAAAAACTAGGGATGTTGTGTGGCGGCTGACCAATCACAGCCGCAAGGGGTTCACTTCCTTATAAGGTAATGAAGAAACCTCTAATTTTACCGGTTCAAAGAGTCATTGTTGCCAGTATCACAGGCATCTATTTTTTAGAATATTATTTTTATGATAAATAATAGAGAGGAAAATTATATTAAATTAGAAATAACAAAATTATTTCCGCAACAAAACCCATGTTAGGTATCTATATCTATATGTCTATACATATATTTTCGCTAAAAGAAACTTGTCCACGTTTCGAATAATTTATTTCCCAAACGACTTGCATGACTGAAATAAATTCATTTTATTTGAAATGGTTTCGTTTAGCGTGGGTTTACTGCCAAATGGAGTTTCCGTAATTCAAAAAAACTTTTCCAACTGTAATCTATGCACGAAAGATGTGTACCTAAATGGGAGAAATGCAAAATATTGTCCCGATGAAACAGCTCCGTTTCGCTTTGAATAGCGTGTATTGAAGTAAATAACCCATCGCTACCGTGAAATTTAAGTCACATTCCAACCGGTGCTCCCTTTTTTACATTTTCCGTTTCACGGCTTTTTTGAATTGGGATTATATTTTCTCAAATACATAGGTAGTTGCATATAATTTTAACAAATTATACTCACTATACTTATTTATTTTTCTAGTGGAAGTTGGATGTTATCGCAATTCTATTTGCACCTCCTGGTAAACAACAATTGGATGAAAGTACATAATTCCGAACAAATTATATTTTTGAGCTGGTTTTCTGGTAATAATCTTATAAACGGTATTGATTCTTACCGCAGTGTCATTGGCATCACACGCGTCTTATTATATCAATCTATGGACATTCAAGTCTAGACACTTTTTCTTACACACTTATTAAAATATGAGTCTTTCTTTAATTCTCATTGTTTTCCAAAATCAATAATTTCTTTTCTAGCTCTGATGTATGCCAGTATCTTCGGTAACGTATCGGCGATCATCCAAAGACTGTACTCGGGCACGGCCCGGTACCACACGCAAATGCTGCGCGTGCGTGAATTTATCCGTTTCCATCAAATACCCAATCCGCTGCGCCAACGACTCGAAGAGTACTTCCAGCACGCTTGGACCTACACGAACGGTATCGACATGAACTCGGTGCTGAAGGGGTTTCCTGAATGTCTGCAAGCCGACATCTGCTTGCATTTGAACAGGAATCTTTTGCAGAACTGCGGAGTGTTCGAGGGAGCGAGTCCAGGGTGCCTCAGGTAAATATAACGCTAGTGGTTCTAAAGAAATTATAAAACAATCTATCTTTTAATGTATTAGTAGTGTTCAATAAGATTTGGATGAGCGACAATGAAAAACATATGAACTGTTTTTATTTATTTTTTGGAACGGCGAATTTAATTTGTCTAAAAATTGAATAATAACATTTATCTATGATAATAATTAATCAAATTAGACAAAATCATATAAAGCTGTAATAGAAAAGAAAATGTGCCTCGAGTTTGCATAGAAAATTTAAGGTTATTAGATTATGTCTCATCTGTTGAAATAGGATTTTATTTGCCACAAAAATACTCTTATCCGCTGGATTAGTCGGGATTCGAGATCCTGGATAGAATATGGTGGTTTCTAGAGCAGCTTTTCACTAATGATCGAATAGAGAAAGTCAGAATCACTTGTGGTGAGAAACGTGCAAAGCAAAACTTACCGAAATGGTTTTTAAAAATCCGAAATCATCGGCGAAATTATGGCACTTTACGAAAACGTAACGCAACATAAGGCAACTCAATGTACCATAAATTCCATAACTGAGAAAATTAGGTCTAAAATCCCTTTTAGAGCAAAGACAAAATTAAATTCTTCAAGAGAGACACTTTTTTCGAAACAACCAAATCGTAAAAGGAAGATTTACCACAAGTAATTAATTAGCTGTCCTAGATTTGAAGAATAGGGATGAGGCAAAGTAGCGACAAATGCCAAAAATAAATCGGGTAAAATTTTTAAGTAAAGTCTGTTTTTTTTTAAAGATAAAAGTCAAAATGACATTATGTTGGCAATTCAATATGAAATTGTCAATGCTTTCAAATTTTTTATGTAGAAAAGGCTTGTGTTGACAACATAGTTACTAAATTTTTGACTTAAAAAATTCTCTTTAAAAAAAAACAGACTTTACCAAAAATTGCACACAACAATATAATTAGAGAAAATGACAACAGCTGACGACTAATGATAACAACAAGTATTTAACTACTAGAACAATCATAATTTGAAGAATACGACATTGAATAAGCAATTCGTGTTGCAAAACGCGAACCCTTACAAAGGAATCGATGATCCCAAAAATATTACTAATTGAAAGGCCAATTGATAAAAATGAACGACATTTCAGCCGTCAGCTGGCACACCAATCATGAGTGACATGACTCAGGTGTCACTATAAAATAGAGAGCAACCCGGTGGTTTATGGGACTGGATTCCGGAACTAAAACTGGTACTGCGTTCAACAACCGAACAGAGTACAAGCAGCGTGCAGTACACACTTCGTGAACGGACCACTATTTGGAAAACTTAACCCAAGGATAAGAAATATTTGATTTGTTTACATGAGGATTTCTTATTGGAAAACGGAATTAAAATATTGAATAAAATCGAGGAAAATCATTAGTCGTCACAAGAACTACACTTTATTTTTTCCCAAGATAGATTTTGACATTGAAAACTTTGAAACATAAACAATAACGCTTGACCCTGATTGGTCGCAAAAGGAGGTGTTTCTGCAGGTTGACATCAGTTTTACAATAGCGACCAGTAAACGGCATAAGCGGCATTGTTTATGTTTCAAAGTTGACAATGCCAAAATCTATCTTGGAAAAAAATAAACCATAGTCAGATGTGAAAATAGAATTTAAATAATAAAGATTTGAAAATTTACAGGATCTGCAATTACTGCAATTATTGTTGAATTTTTCTAAAGGAAAAATGTAAACAAAGCCTAATAAAATCAGGAAAAAATTTAATATTTATAGGAATTTTGAATGGAAAACTGAAAATAGTGTTTACATTAAAGGCAATTTTGGCACGTTACAACATGTATATTTTGTCTTCGGCAGTCAAGAATAATTTTCTGTGCATTGTTTGCCGGCCGGCGAGTTGTGTCTCAACTAATTGAATTTTAAAGTGTCATGCATTGTCTGATTATCGATTTACGAATCTTCTTCCCCTAACTAGCAGGACTGCGACAATCCGACGTGGCTGGCAATTTATGTTGCTGCTGCATTTATTAATTTTGTCTGGATAAGGAAAACTTGGATACACGTGCCAATGTACCTGTTTAAATAATTTTGTAGGTAATTTCCTTTATTATGAATCAGGCAGAGTAATCTGTTTAATCCAGCCAACTCTGCTAAATTGGACAATGGACAGTCTGAACTGGATATGGAGTATACATAAAATCTTCACCTCTCTACAAGGCCTTTGGCAGAATATCTGTTTAATTCAGAGTTGCAACAATTGTTTTTATCGAAATCACAATTCACAAACCATAATCTGCCTAGTCGTGCTCAGAGATTCTTATGAGGTGGTTTTCAGGGTAAGTACATTTTGTAGAGGGCTCTACTAGATTCTAAAAAAAATATCAGAAAACCAAATCTAGACAGTATTCAAAAATAATTCACACTGTTCAACAGCACCCTTTCCCGCTTGTCCGTCTTCTCGCATAAACAATAAAATTACATGAAAATATACGCGGACATGCGACGCAAGTTGGATTAGGAGCTGGAAATCTTGCAGCACAATTTCCGCCTAAATTTCGCTATCTAAACCCAGGACCAAGTGCGGCGCGGGGCGATGGGAAGGTATCACAGGCGAGCACAGAACTCGAAAGTGGCGCAGCTATGTTATGTTGTACGCAAAACCCGTATTATTAACTTGCCATGGTTGGCCGACTGTAGCGTTCGGAGGCGCCCGTCTCGCTCAAAGATGAAAAATATTCCATGCAGCGTAGATCGAAGGCTTACTATACTAACATGCTCGGCTGAAAATATACTGTTTCAATAATTTTAGTCGGTTTTACTTTTAATTGAAAAAATATTGAATAATTAAAAAATTAGTCAAGTAATTATGAAAATTTTGGGGGTTCTGCAGCTCTGCAACCCTTATGCATCAGCCAATACATCATTCGAAAATTGCATTTTTCTGATTCGATATTCTCATTGAAAAAACTAAAGCGACTTTAAAAAAACTCTTAGCGGAAAAATATAAAAAGAACTTCCAGCGTTTCATTGCTGTATTAACTTTTTTCTAGAAAGCGGATGATTAAAATTTGATTTAAGTTTACGCGGACAAGATAAAGTTTCTAATGGAAGTCTTATGTTTTACGTTGAAGGGGCTTCAACAAAAAAATTTCGAATCCGTATAAAAACATAGAGAAGTCATGGGTTTTCAGTGGAAATAGTAACAAGATAATTGAGTATTTATCAGAAAAAAAAAACCTATAATCAAAACAAAAAATGCGAGACGTGGTGCGTGGAGCAAGTATGTTCTCCTCCATTATGCCATTAAGTTTTTTAAATGTAAGAAAGTTTTACATTCCTAGGGATGTAGCACGATAAATGCTACCTAACATGTTGAATATTTCATCGATTATACAACTCACGGTACATTATTCCCATATGACACGAGAGGCTTAACAAGTGATAAGCCTTTTGGGATTATCGCGCTTGGTGGAATTTATGGCAAATTCTATTATAGAATTTTTTTTCAAATTTTAAAGTACTAAAGTTTAGTTCGTTGTATAACCTTTTGAATACCACTCGATGTTTCAGGATTACCTAATACTTTCACCTGACACTCAAGGCGTTACCAGCAACACCACTCCTCCTTTGGAGTCGTGGTGTTGCTGCGTAACGCGTTTCGTGACAGGTAAAAGTATTATCCGGTAATCCTGAAACCTCTTGTGGTATTACATTCGATTATCACTTTATGGATTGCAGGTATTTTATGTTCATCTCACTAATCTGCAATTAACTAATTGCATTTATTTGTGACTTGTCAGTTGGGTCTCCCGATCAGATTTCAATTGACGTATGGACGATGGAAACAAAGGAAACGCATAAATACTAAACATGAAGACATCAAAACAAACTCGCAGGTTCTACTGAGATTGTCTGCTAAATATATCTATGATATTGATCAGCACAATCGAATCAAAATATTCAGCATCCTCTGCCTTTGTCAGCGCCATGAAGGCAACCCTCTATAAGAGTTCCAAATTCCCTAGAAATGGGACGCAGTTATTCAAAGATCCAGCTTATACCAACTTTTGATGAAAGGGAGCATTTTGAGGGACTACTAAACATAAAGTCCCACGTGGATGATGGTGGCGTCTTTAACAAATTCTCTCATAATTATCTGAGTGCCATTTGATGGTTTGTCTTCTGTAAAGTCTTTTCTAGCTGTTGTTTCAATTTCTAAGCTTATATTCATGAAATCGCAAGTTTGAGATTCCGGCCAAAAACGTCTCAAAATAATCGATTTTGAGCTGGTCATCGTTATTTTTGCCATTGCTTTTGTGCGGCTCAAGTGATAGTGATGTTTAGGTAGGTACCTATTTGGTTTTCTGCGTCGTTTGAGCTTCTTCTCATTGATTTGGTGTTGTTTTTTATTTTCAACCGTCTGTTTGTTTATTCTCTTGAGAAAATCTTTCTTCTAGTCTACTGATTATTGATCTGCTTCAAAACTTATGAAACGATATTATTGGTGATCTCTGTAGTGATTGGCGTGGCCAGAAGAATTCTTCAAATTCCTCTTTGCTTGTTTCAGGTGGACTGAATAAATCGAACGTGTCTTCAGATCCTAGGCTTCTCTGACATCCGTTTCATTATTTTTGGTGTTAAGATTCTGCTGCATCCTTCTCCAGAAGAAATTCCGCCTCTACCTCTCTGTAATTTTTCAATTAGCACCTTATCCATGTAGTTGAGGATCAAAACGGCGCCTCTACCATGAGTCACGACTTTGTTCTATAAAGGAGACATGGGGGTCGTAGCTAGGGATTTTAACTTGAACAAAAATCTGGACAAAGTAATTAAAAGGTCAAAAATGGCGCTTATACTAGCCAGGAGAACTTTTGGCAAAACATGGGGGCTGCGGCCGGACATGATACACAAGGGTTTCAAAGCCAGCGATGCGTCTTTGATATGGTAGACAAAGACACAACAGAAGAGGGCCAGAATGAGACTTGGCAGGTACTTACCTGTCTGAG